TAAGGTGTGACGGGCGGGGCATTCTGGAAAGGCAGACTGCCATCGTGGTGTGGAGCGATAGGCTACGCGATAGCCATATCCATTGAGACACATCGTGCTCGTGAGCTTCGTCCGGGTTACCGTTGGTGAGTTCGGGTTTACTGTGAACTACCATGGTGGTCTGTTCTTGGGTGTCTGGCGCAGTTCTGGCTGCTGCACGTACCGACCGCTGCTTGTCATGCCTGATACGAATCAGCGAGGAAAATTTGACCGATGGTATTTGGGATGAAAGGTTTATGAACAGAAGCGGAAGAGTTTTCACCATATAAAATGCTGTGTTCAGTATAACTTTGTCACTGAAATCAACGTGACACCCAATGATATTAAAGAATAAATCAATTTTCATGTTGAAAGACTTCTAGAAAATTTTCCCTCCAGCTCCAATGACAGTTAATCCAATCATTAGATTTATGGTAAACAGTAGGTGTCTAGAGTCCATTTATCTGTGTTGAGCATCCGATTTCTCTGTAATGTCACTTAGTGGTGTTTGGATTGAAATTAAGCAGGTGCTTTAACGGATTTTCAGAAAAAAATCTGAATTGACTTTTGTTATAATTCACTTTGAAAGGTGGTCGAAGGCCTTTATACATGCCAGGGAATTTAAGGTGCTCGTCGGTAATAATCCAAATACAGAGGATCGTATATAGAGTTCAACCAGGAATTGGGTATTACCAGTGCATTAAGCTTATTATTTCAAATCTACCAAGTGGCTCGAAACACGGTCTATACTTACCCTAAAGATAAAGATTTCTTAGTGAATAATAGTTAAATCACAAATCTCTTAACAAGCAGATGCTATACCCTTACCCTGTGGACCTCTTTGAAAATAAAATCAGTCCATCGTAAAAATCATGTTGGAAAGAATTTACATTGGAGAAAATGTGATTATTGATGAAATAGGAGAGCAACAAGAAATCCTAACACTTACTTGGTCACCCCCATCGAAGCTTCCACAGCTGACAGCAAAGTGAAGTATCTTTTTATACGTTTCCAACGAGGGTTTGAAAACAAAAACTCCAGAATTAAAACAATCTGGCCATCCTGGATCTGGAGCAGCACTTAGTTCCTCACGCTCAAACAGATCATCAATATTTTTCAATACCTGAAGTCGAATTAGCATACAAAGACAGAATACCCTTTAGACCAGTTATGTCAGAACTTGGTGACTTTATTACACAACAATCAATGAATAATAAACTACGAATTAAAACTAAGTACTAACCCAAGGGATCGAGGACTAAATGTTAATTACGTTTTCATAAGACATAAAGAAAATAGAATAGACCCACGGTCTATGTAAAGCCATGTTACCTAGGTGAAAGCGTCTGAAAGGTTTGAAGGTAAAATGTTTTTAAAGCTTTGAATAGTGCAAATTTGTTACTTAACGAGGAGCAAGAAACTTTGAGAAAAACTTGAAAACCAACAAGCATTGAGTCAAAGAGCATAAACAATGCGTAAGAAAGGTGAATTCCTCTTTCACCAAGCATAGTAAGCAGGACAAAATAGACTGAATTGACAAATTTTCCTAATAGTACTCAGATAAGAAAGTGAGAATTCAGAAACAGGACAATTACTCAAGCAGTCAAGATTGATGCGCTTAAAGTGCACAGTAATGAAAAATGTAAGAGGAACCTTGTGTGAACCCACTACGCATTTATCACGCGGTTTTAGTTCTGCTTATGTACTGCGACATCATCGATGGGCACTGCAGAGGCGAGACATCACTTATTAGACGTTTACTAAGCAATAACATTAGAACACTGCAGTAAACCAAACTTGAAGTCGTTATGAATTATGGTTGAGTGGTGACTTGGTGATAGTAGTTCAGATTGCTGTGAACGGAACAGGAGATTCCGCTTAACAGGCTTTGAGATATATAGTACCTAGTCGACTAGTTTTAGAAACTTACCGAAACTTAAGATTAAAAACAGTAACCTTATTTTGAAACATCACTTTGAATAAAGCTGTCTTATTTAAACTTTAGCATACCTCTGAGCGAAGTTGCATTAAAAATGAGTATTAGTTCAAATATAAACAATGAATATCGTAAATTACCATAGTGTCGGCATCCATGAAAACAGCTTTCGTATATTGAGTTAATCTCCAGCAGTGAAGCTTTGTGAAGGTTACACCTAGATCAGGTCTCGAAAGTAATGCCAAGTTTGTCTCGTCTTTACTATCAAGTACATCAACAAATTCCACATGGTCGAATACGGACCCCATAACGTCTCTAAAAATAATACAATAATGACAACTGTTTCATACAGAATCTGCTTCGAAACCTGCTTTGTTACCATGCAGGCAATCTGTCTCGTCGTATTTACTTGCCGCAGTGAATGCCCCCAAACAAGAGCACCACATGCGTACTCATCATTTGTCGCTAAAGTAACAAATGCTTCACACACTACAAAATAACAGCAGAAATTAAAACAGTTACTGTTACTTGATAAGAAGTTGGAGTTAAACAGTTATCAACAATGCAGCTGAAACTTGTAAAACTACTCGTACCCTACACGTTCTTTTCTCATACAACTGGTACATTAAAACTAACCCACACTGTCCAATATACAATCCAATATTCAATATTTTTTCACGAACTAGTATAAACTGATTGGTTTATCTGTGCTCGTTTCTTGCTCCTTAAGTACCGATCCAGGTATTCCGTAATGTTCTATGGATGATGTTCTAACCCTGGACTGCACTAATTCCAGTCAGTTTACAGTTATTTATGAATTTGCATATCTCGTAATTTGAATGAATGCGTTTGTCTCAGGGAAGTAGGTTTTCTGGATACCGGCGGTTATTACGTGATCAATACCGAGGTCAGTTAATTACAATATCGAGAATAATAAGGAGGATTTCTAATGATAATGAGATTTCAGAACTAAGTAAATACATAAATCAGTTTACTAATGCACTAGTTTTGAAGATTAAAGTGAGTGGCACGGTGGTGATGCTTCGGAAAGATGCGTATGTTGGAATGAATTAGTGTGATCATTTTTCTTATCAAGTGCTGTTTTAAATTAGAATAGTTTCAAATTTAAAACGACTACATCCACGTCAGTGGTTAGCTTCAATAGAAGACCTCACAAAAACCTACTTACACATGAATAATCGTCCACCTGTTGGAGTAGCTTTGCCTTGATGCATGCCTGGAAACTTGCTATTTGTTATGATTTCCATTTCTTCACCAACTTATTATATCTCACTTTTTTTCTCTTTTTCCTCTCCCTTGTTTAGAGTATGGTCCTCCCACACATTCTGCACTACCAATAAGTAAACTTATTTATGTATTTACTTAGTTCTGAAATCTCATTATCATTAGAAATTCTCCTTATTATTCTCGATATTGTGATTAACTGATCTCGGTATTGATAACGTAATAACCGCCGGTATCCAGAAAACCTACTTCCCTGAGACAAACGCATTCATTCAAATTACGAGATATGCAAATTCATAAATAACTGTAAACTGACTGGAATTAGTGCAATCCAGGGTTAGAACATCATCCATAGAACATTACGGAATACCTGGATCGGTACTTAAGGAGCAAGAAACGAGCACAGATAAACCAATCAGTTTATACTAGTTCGTGAAAAAATATTGAATATTGGATTGTATATTGGACAGTGAGGGTTAGTTTTAATGTACCAGTTGTATGAGAAAAGAACGTGTAGGGTACGAGTAGTTTTACAAGTTTCAGCTGCATTGTTGATAACTGTTTAACTCCAACTTCTTATCAAGTAACAGTAACTGTTTTAATTTCTGCTGTTATTTTGTAGTGTGTGAAGCATTTGTTACTTTAGCGACAAATGATGAGTACGCATGTGGTGCTCTTGTTTGGGCGCATTCACTGCGGCAAGTAAATACGACGAGACAGATTGCCTGCATGGTAACAAAGCAGGTTTCGAAGCAGATTCTGTATGAAACAGTTGTCATTATTGTATTATTTTTAGAGACGTTATGGGGTCCGTATTCGACCATGTGGAATTTGTTGATGTACTTGATAGTAAAGACGAGACAAACTTGGCATTACTTTCGAGACCTGATCTAGGTGTAACCTTCACAAAGCTTCACTGCTGGAGATTAACTCAATATACGAAAGCTGTTTTCATGGATGCCGACACTATGGTAATTTACGATATTCATTGTTTATATTTGAACTAATACTCATTTTTAATGCAACTTCGCTCAGAGGTATGCTAAAGTTTAAATAAGACAGCTTTATTCAAAGTGATATTTCAAAATAAGGTTACTGTTCTTAATCTTAAGTTTCGGTAAGTTTCTAAAACTAGTCGACTAGGTACTATATATCTCAAAGCCTGTTAAGCGGAATCTCCTGTTCCGTTCACAGCAATCTGAACTACTATCACCAAGTCACCACTCAACCATAATACATAACGACTTCAAGTTTGGTTTACTACAGTGTTCTAATGTTATTGCTTAGTAAACATCTAATAAGTGATGTCTCGCCTCTGCAGTGCCCATCGATGATGTCGCAGTACATAAGCAGAACTAAAACCGCGTGATAAATGCGTAGTGGGTTCACACAAGGTTCCTCTTACATTTTTCATTACTGTGCACTTTAAGCGCATCAATCTTGACTGCTTGAGTAATTGTCCTGTTTCTGAATTCTCACTTTCCTATCTGAGTACTATTAGGAAACTTTGTCAATTCAGTCTATTTTGTCCTGCTTACTATGCTTGGTGAAAGAGGAATTCACCTTTCTTACGCATTGTTTATGCTCTTTGACTCAATTCTTGTTGGTTTTCAAGTTTTTCTCAAAGTTTCTTGCTCCTCGTTAAGTAACAAATTTGCACTATTCAAAGCTTTAAAAACATTTTACCTTCAAACCTTTCAGACGCTTTCACCTAGGTAACATGGCTTTACATAGACCTTGGGTCTATTCTATTAGATTTTCTTTATGTCTTATGAAAACGTAATTAACATTTAGTCCTCGATCCCTTGGGTTAGTACATAGTTTTAATTCGTAGTTTATTATTCATTGATTGTTGTGTAATAAAGTCACCAAGTTCTGACATAACTGGTCTAAAGGGTATTCTGTCTTTGTATGCTAATTCGACTTCAGGTATTGAAAAATATTGATGATCTGTTTGAGCGCGAGGAACTAAGTGCTGCTCCAGATCCAGGATGGCCAGATTGTTTTAATTCTGGAGTTTTTGTTTTCAAACCCTCGTTGGAAACGTATAAAAAGATACTTCACTTTGCTGTCAGCTGTGGAAGCTTCGATGGGGGTGACCAAGTAAGTGTTAGGATTTCTTGTTGCTCTCCTATTTCATCAATAATCACATTTTCTCCAATGTAAATTCTTTCCAACATGATTTTTACGATGGGCTGATTTTATTTTCAAAGAGGTCCACAGGGTAAGGGTATAGCATCTGCTTGTTAAGAGATTTGTGATTTAACTATTATTCACTAAGAAATCTTTATCTTTAGGGTAAGTATAGACCGTGTTTCGAGCCACTTGGTAGATTTGAAATAATAAGCTTAATGCACTGTTAATGCAAGCGTGTGAGTTAGGTTTCACTGTTATTATTTTGAATTGATCATCGAAACAATAAGAACTTCAAAATATGTACCAATTAAAACCTTTGAATTTCAGTATACTCCCAGTTGCCACATACAATACATATAGTTTTTATTACTTATTGTGATCTTACTGATTTTTCTAGTTACGTTTCTCTATACGAATTGATTTAGTAAAGACGTTTCGGTTCAACAATCTAGAAGGATGCAAAAGTAAATGAATTTTATCAATCTAGTCCACCTGTATTGCGTAAAGTTACTAATTAGTCAGTCAGCAATAAATTACTTCTGTGATTAACGGTATATAAATACGGGAGTTGTGTAGGTTCCAAGTATCTGGTCATATGTTTCTTCAAAGTATTGTTTGCATGTAGTGATCGGGGTCTGCGGTGAACGATTAGACACATGAGGTGACCACTCAAAATGCATTATAATGGCTCTTATTTATTCCTTCTCCGCCCTCCATTAGATATTCATTTTCGAAATCATATTATGCTTCAATCTGCAAATTCTTATCCATCGAGTCATATCTTCTGTATCTAATACTTCCCACCATCACCGATCCTATGATTGTTACTACTGTAGTTTCCTCTGTGCTGATGCGGTGCAGCAACTTCAACCGACAGGTGTTTACCCTGGGTTCAACATTACGTATGACTGATTGATATACCTATGATGAAATCACCGAGCGAGTATTACTGAATTTCAATGTAAGTTACTAACCCGTGATGGTGACTCCGTTAGTGAGGTTGTGAACCTTCAATGTAAAATATAGTTGTGGATTCTGAAAAATTACTTTATACCGGTTAATTCAGATTTTGGATAATTTTTCTATTCTATTCCACTGCCGAAACTTATTCATTTTGTGTTCACAGTAATTCTTTTCCTACTCATTCCTCTTTTTGTGAATCTAGACCAATCATGTGATAGAACATCTAATTTTAATGGTTTTAGAAATTTTTTTCCTTACTAATATACATTGATAAGGTGTATTTAAATAATTTAGACATTCAACGCATTGTTGATGCAGAATCTACCGTCACACTCAAAATGTACATGTAAGTAGCAATAATATTATTCATGCTTCTCTATTCTCAAAATGTCAATCTTTCTTATCATTTTATCTGTAGGGTCTGCTAAATATCTTTTTCTCCGAATGGGCAACCAAAGATATTCGTCTTCACTTGCCATTCACTTACAATGTCATCAGTCAGGCCTTTTACTCCTATCCACCTGCCTTCCTCCATTTTCGTGATAAAATACGTGTTGTTCACTTTATTGGGGCAGATAAGCCTTGGCATTGTGGGCTAGACAAATTCGGAAAAGTTATTGTTCATGATCTTACAAGTATTGGAACTCCTGAATTTCTGCAGCACTGGTGGGATTTATTCATGGCCCACGTTCATCCAAAATTAACCCCTGGTGAGGTAAGTGAAACACTTACGAATACGTTTCGCGACACACCATTATTAAACCAAACATGACAAATTGGAATTTCATTCGCATCATTAGTCAAAGATAATAGTTGTTTCTCAAGCAAACATAATCGCACCTTGCATAAAACTGAATTCCTCCGAACCGTTGAGAAATATCAGGTGGTTTGAGTTTTCAAATAACTGTTTTCTACATGGCAACTGAAAAATTTTCTGTAGTTTTATTTTATATGTATTGTATTTTGTAAGTAAAGTCATGAGCTCTATGTTGAAAACCATGTTCCCCGAGTGTTATCAAACTTCCGAGTTTCTCCATCGCATGTCTCTGACAGGCTTTTAACTTTATAACATTAACTGATTTCAACGTTTGTCTTTTGTAAAATAGTTGAAGTGTCTATCTGTCTAACTTGCTAGTATTTATCAAAACGCTTGAATTATGTAAGGTAGTTTACCAAGCATCAGGTAAAGCACCGAAGTCTGTGGTATCAATAGTGCAGAAATGATCTAATAGATGCTTTATATGGTCCGTTTATACTTTTTATTTGTACAAGATACAACTATTTGCAAATAACTTATTCATTAATTCAATTTGATTTGCTGAAGTGTTGGATCACAAACGATACTTGATGTTATTATCTACTCAGTCTATCAGCTCAGATTCGAAATCGATCTCTCCATATTTTTAGTCCCTTTTCTAAACAGCATAGTTGGTGGTTGATCTTTGTTACCACTGGCGTTGTATGACATGGTGAGCATTCTTCCTGTCGTTAGTTACATATATTCATTTGACGCCATTACAAATTTACTTAAAACGTATCAATAATTATTCTTACATTGAGTCGAGTATAGTCAATGACATTCAGTTCTTGCACATAGTAACTTCTAGATTTTGTCTATAGGGAAGTAATACTTACTCAGAAACCAGTTACCATATAGGAACACGGAGTAGTTAAAAAATTACCATCTATTATCAAAAGCCATTGACCCTAATAATAATCTCAGGAGCATTTACGTAAGCATCGTTGCTTAGGTTTTATTGGTTTGCGAGGTCGGACATCAGCTTTACTATGCTGCAACCTATCGACTTGCTCAATAGTGACGCCCTCGTCACTGCATTTGAAGACCGGGAGGTTTGTCTTAGTCGAAGGAAACACTTCTTAGCACCATTCCTAAAATAACACAAATAAATTTCACATCTCCCTCTGATTTTCAGATATTCTGTCCACACAGTGTCATTTTAAGATGAAATTTATCGTGTTTGTGGTGTCCTTTATATGATGAACTCGCGACACATTAACCTTAATGATAATATAACTGACATTTTATTGGCGAAATCTTGTGCTTCAGACTCCTAGCTATATTTATCATATCCATGCCTTATAGCTTATTTGTGACCGAAAACCTCAGGACGTGCTGTATATATTGCTTTAATTGTTGCTCCAGTTGTTCTCTATGATAGTAGATCCTGAAAGGCCTGTAACTCATTAGTGAGAGCTATACTGAAGTGTTTGTCAGTATTCCAAAGAAAGTCCCCGTTTTCCAATGTTTCTTTAGTTTCAGTTTGTCTTGACCACTACAGTGTGGTGATCTCACGCTATATCAGTTTCTCTTTTGGTTCTTACGTCGCCCATATTCCTAAACTTTTTATTGATGCAGATGTAGTAGATTGGGTTCTGTGTAGTATGATCCACTGTGACCTATATGACTTTTTGTATGCGTTCGTGTGGGAATCTGGTGCCGCTCAGAACCATTATATTCAAAGTACATAGGTTTGCGAATCTCGCTCTGTTTTTGTTCCTTTCTCCCAGTCCATATCCTACCATGATGTCTTTCTATCCGGTGTTTTCCATTCCTACCCTGGCGTTTATGTCTAGCATCAGAATGGTCAAATCCTTTGTTGTGAATTTCTCGGCGAATGACTTCAGGCTCTCAAAGAATTGATCTTTATCGTCTTCATTGTTATTGTTGGTAGGCGCATACTATTTAATGACATTCATTGTAATCCCTTATTTTATTTCTTTCTTTCTTTCAAAGAGGCTTTAACGATTCTGCTTCTATGCGACTCCCATCCTATCAGTTCATTTTGTGCTTGTTTGGAGAGCATTAGTACAACTCCTTGTATCTGTGAAGCGTCTTTTCCTTCATAACCGGAGTACAACAGCACTTCTCCTGAAGTTATTCGTTCTTCTCCAGCCTCCGTCTAGCTTGTCTCACGTTTGCGAAGTATCACCGGGTTATATGTTTCCTCATTTGCACAGCAACTGAAATAATTCTTACAGTCTCTCATATTATGCGAACATTCTATGTACACGTATATTAATGGTTAGTCTGTTTATTGGTAGGGTCATTGGCCTGGTGACTTCCCAAGAAACTTGGCCTTCACCATGAGGTGTGATAGCTCTTTTAAATGAAGACGTTCAAACTCCTAGGGTAGAGATTAAGTGTTTTTGATTATTTTTCCTAGTTGGCTTTGTTTTAGTAAGTTGGTTTTCTACGGGATCAGGTTGCTAACCTCATACCTAACCCTCACTAGACTGCAAAAAGTGAATTCGTTACATTATTATTTCATTTAAGTAAATTATACAGCTGTTTTATTGAAGTTTTTGATTGTTTTTCTGTACAAAGATTAGTCAGGATAATAGTATTTATGTACTTTTATTAGTCAAGTTTTTATAGACATTATTACGTGGTAAATAAGAATTATTTTATGGATGTTGTCGATGGTCTTCAGCCATAGTTGTTTACTCTTAGGTTGTCATTAGATTGTTTATGTTTCAGTCATTACATTTTAACAGTCGTTAGTTTATTCTCAGATAAATCGTTTTTATTCTTATGGAGTAAGTAATCTTATCGTCTACTTGTTGCCTTTTCATGCATTTCTGCAAAAATAATAGAGTGATTTCGTGGGTAGATTGGCTCAGATAGAAATAAGTCAACCTACCTCAAGTTTGACTCAAGCCAGTTACGAATCTGAAAGACAACTGGCATGGGAACGTGGACAAATGGATTATATGGGCTCTGATTCATTTGAAAAAATACAAAGTCTACTAGAATCCAAAATTCAAAAATAGAAATCAGTATATAATCAGAAAGTAAGTGGCCATCAGTGATAATACAAATGAAAGTGGATGCATAAACTATTCAGACTGCGCATGCATACATACTTACTAACAATTTGCTACATATTACAAACCTAAATTTTTAACTGCTGCTCCCATGTTTTTACATCTTAGTCTTATCGACAAACAATAATAGCTTCTAATAATTGTAATATCTCATGTTATACATAGATTAGGAAGAAGTATACCATCAACCAAATTGTTGAACTGTTCTTAATTCATTTCGTTTATTTCTCCCTATTGTTGTTTATTATCAGTTTTATGTTTAATTTCTATTGATAATATAATAAATATATATCTATATATCTTAAAGTTATTTTGATAAAAATTAATGAATCATCCTTTTTTGTGTGATTTATTTCATACACAACATTTTGATCTTCATATTCTTTCGTGTAATTTTGAAATGTTTATTTTTACGATTTATAGTCTATAATTTTCCTGTCTATTTTATTTTTAATGTACTTCGTTTTTTAGTAAAATCATAATTCACTGTATTTGAGTTGCATATATATTGTTGAGATAAACTTGGTGGGATATTTCATTTTACTTTTGACAGATATATATATATATATGATTGGTTCATTCTTGTTTTCATGAAATTTACTCTGCTTGAATTTTTGAATATTTTCCTTACATTGGTATTTGATTTTCTACAAATTAGCAACTTATCATGAGTGAGAAAATATTTCTTTTGTCAAGAAATTCATTTTCTTTTCACCCCTTGTTTTGCGAATTTAGGTTTGTATCTTTCTTAATATTGTAGCTAGGGGACAAATAATGGCTTAAATCAGAGTGATGATGTTTATCTTTTGTGTTGTCGATGTTATCAATAAAGATGTCTTCCACTCAAGATGTTTAATGATAAAGTAAATCTACCTGTTTATTTTTTATATGTTTTCTTCATGTGTTCTTTACTCTTAATTTAGTGAAATAGAAAATAAACGGATATTGTTTATGTTTAAAAAAAGAAGAATTCATTTGAATTTTCATAAATTTATCTAAAGATTCCCTCTTACTAAGATATGAAAAAGAAAATAACTTTTGAATATCATATTCGAAAGGTTACGGTTGGTTGCAACCGGTAATTCGGCGCATTTGTACCAATTTCGACGATCGAACAAGGGCGAGAAAATATGGAAATAAAAGAGCTCAATTTCGTAGGCAGTACACGCCAGTATTTTATTGATAAATGCTAACGTAAATGAGCAGTGTTGTGTTGAAATGCGCTGTTTTCTTTCAAAACATTAATACGAAACTTGACTTATTGTTAACAATTGTTTAAGGCTAATTACAGTACTGTTGTTTGTTACTGAAGAAGACATCACTGACATAAGATTAAGAAATATTGTGTAACAGCTCTAAAAAGGAATAAAATGATGTCCTGAAAATACAGTGTTCCCAATAACCTTATTATGATTATTTCTATTGCATGCATCGCATGGATTCATTTCTCACGACTGGCTATAATCCCTATTTATTGATTTCTATAATGATGTAGTGTGTGTACGGATATGTTGAGCCCATATGACTTGTCATGGCTTCTGAACAAACTAATTAACTTTTTCTGTCCACCTTTTGACCTTGTGCATTGCTTACTTCGTCTGTCACATGTCTGGCCTATTTTTATTTGACTATAAATATTTGGATATGTCTCGTCTTATTGAGTTGGCTCACTAACCGCTTTCACGCTTCCCTTTATTGTCTGTCTGCTTAAACAAGTTCATCTTCAAAGTCGTGCTGGGCTTTAATCACCGCCGTCGCACAAACGGGGATCACCTAAGCATGATATACGGAAATCATAGGGGAGATTTATTTTACAACGTATTGTTCGTTCGAAGGCTAGGACTCAACGTATTAGTACGCACATTACAATCGATATACGTACCATTGGGTCTCGTAGTGATATAAACTAGTTCAGCAATAAAGTAGCGATGATGATTCAGGCTTTCTGGGAATTTCCGGTTTATTATTTCTGATCCGTTATCATCTCAACATTCCTAGACTAACTGGCCACATTACATCGTGATAGGATTTGAATAAAACTAAAAGAACAGGCACCCACAATATTGGTCTTTTATCAGTGGCCAATCAACTATGAATCTAAGGCTTTCTCACTAGTTTATGGCTTATAGTCTTCCATCATTGAGAATCGTGTAGGAGTAAAATATGAAGTAGGTGACACTAGTTGGTACAATAAGTCATGTTGTTGTTACGCTCACTAAATTGAAGTGAAAAGCTAACCTTATAAAAGAATGACACGTATCAGGCTTTTTTGAGGAACTAAATAACTCGATAATCATAGCTGTATTACTTTGACCAATTAATTTAACGTTTTATTTACATAATACTATTAGTTATCAACAAGACGTTTCATATTTCTGGTATTAATTTTTACTTTTACTGTCGTAAAAAATTGATTTTAATTTCTGTAACTGACGACTACAGTTACAAGCTTACGAATACAGCTATGATGACTCAGGTAAAAGAAAATACTGAAACTGGGAGACTCGGACGAGTGCGAGTCTGAGTATTGAAACTATGTGGTTAATGCTTATGGCCGAAGGAAAATAGCAGTTTAACTTAAAAGGATAAACGAATTTATTTAAAGCGAGAACAGATGAAAGAGTCAGTTATATAAAAATGACCTAAACCCATTAGCCGTCTCCTGACAATTGTATGGAAATGATATTAAAAGTTAACTGCTGTAATCGCTAGCTAATGGAAAATGTGATGTATTTGCAGACAGTGATTAGGTTTGATTTAGTTTCTTAATCCTGAAGTTACTGATAAAAAGTTAGTTAGCTAGTAAAGCATTAAATTTCATCCATTTAATGAATGAACTTCTAGTGGAGGGTAGTAAACTTTGCATTGATCAATACATACTTAAGCCTGTAACCTCTAATGGAGCATAGTCTGCCGACCAACATTCTCCCACCAACTCCGTTCTGGGTCTTCTTTTCCAATGAACAGGTGCTTTGGTTAAATTCAAGATACATGTCAACATCTACAACAATTAATTTATTGAATTTTTCGCTTTTTGGTATTCAGCAAATTGTATAGAAGAGCGAACATATTTAGTAAGCTATTTAAAGAAACAAACATTTTCAGATGTATCTCCGGGCACCTTGTACATGAGAGATGAAATGAGTTGTTGGTATTCGAATCAGTCCGAAACATTCATCAATAAGCATTACTTTCAAAATATGGTTTTGAAACTATATTAATACAACTAATTTGAAAGGCAGTTTATAATAATTAAACACCTGACTGCAAAATTACTGTCATTATGTTGTTAAGGGAACATATAATGAGCTGTTTCACTAAATGTTCAATGCTTAGTAATAGATTTTATATAAGTAAAGTGTAAATTGCTATCGAAAGTCATGAAAATGTTTTGAATTATGTGTTCAACATGTGGCTAACAGAGTAATTGTGTCTATATGTTTTGTTTTCGAATAATTACGTATTCTTGAAACGAAACTTAAGATAAACTTTGAAAAGTACTATTTACCAACCTCCTATAATCCTTGCATAGCCATCATCCAGAAGATACAAGTGTTTATGAACAGTTGTCTACGCAAAATACTTCGGATTCGTTGGCCAGACATTATCAGCAACAACGAACTGTGGGAGAAAACAAACCAGATTCCAGTGGAGGAGGAAATCAGGAAGAAGCGGTGGAAGTGGATAGGACACACACTACGAAAAGCACCTAACTGCGTCACGAGACAAGCCCTCACATGGAACCCTCAAGGCAAAAGGAAAAGAGGAAGGCCAAGGAACACACTACGCCGAGAAATAGAGAAAGATATGAGAGGAATGAACAAACATTGGACAGAACTAGAAAGGGAATCCCAGGACAGAGTTGGTTGGAGAAAACTGGTGGGTGGCCTATGCTCCATTGGGGGTAACAGGCGTAAGTAAAGTAAGTAAAGTATAATCCTTGCATACAAAATCTAGGGATTTTTATTAATATCATCAACAGTGAAAGTCAGTCAGTCCGCTACAACGTAGAACTTCGTACGTACACACAATAGTTCAAGTTGCTATACCACATAAGCACAGAAATCAAATTTTCAATTCAAATCCCATAGTTGTAGATGCAGTAGAAGTATTAGCGGTAATGGAGAAGATTAGGATTCGAAGAAATTATTCAAGAAGTATAATCTACGGAAATAAATTTAAAAAATGAAGATGATGAAGAATTCAGAAAATTAGAATGGGAGAACACAGAGTGTTTTTTCCTGCGACATTACAGACGATTTTGAGCAATGTTGTTCAAAGTCGCTAACCATCGGTTAATACTGTCTCATACAACACAACCAGGTACTGTACACCTATTTGTCACTGACTTCGTAAATTTGTGCCATGTCTTGGTCTGGACGCCTCTAGTTTTCTTTCAACCTACTCATAAATCACAAAACATAGCTCGACGAGGCAGCCGGTGGTTGGTAATTCGTAACACATGTCCCAATCACCCCAACTGATGAAGATTCATTACTTCATCGGCTGATTTGTCAACCTTACCTAGTACCCATTTCTTAACAACTGCATTGCTGAATCAGTTGTCCCAGAACATACGAGCAAGCTGTCTCCAGGTGGGCATCACTTACAACTGTTTTTCTAGTTGCTCCTGAAACATACACTTGGCTTTGTTGCCGTTAAGCAAAACTATTATAGGTTTCCTTGTTGTGTCTCCCTCACAACCAGTAAGCCACAGATAGATACGCGCCCGTACTAGATCATGATCTACATCTAAACAAGTGCTTTAGAATGAGCGGCAGTCTTCAATAGAGCCTCTCCATTAGTGGCTGAAAGCGATGTGGTCTAGTGGTGTCCAGCGCTGGGACGACTTTGGAAGTTGCCAGGTAAAGAGATGGTTTTTTTATGTTTAAAGTTCGTATTCCCCAGAAATAGGTGGTGATCTGAGCGTAGCTGCAGTAGACGGT